AGGGGAGGACAAGATCCCTGCGATGGGGAGTGTCAAGCAGTTCCATATAATGATTCATGACCTTTTTCCGGAGGCTTGTGGCATCCAATGTTTGGTTCATTTATCATCTTGTTTATCCTCTTGTCACTATAGTGAGTTGATCTCTATTTTCTGGAGAAGGATGAAGAAGTTTCTGCAGGTTGTTAGTAGAGTCTCTGTAGAGTGTTGATCCGATTACATCCCGCATGTGAAGAGGTTTTGCAAGCCAAATAGAAGGCCTTTATCAATCAAACGTCTACATCAATTACTCTGGTTTACATCGGTGCCCGAACCACCCACGGATCCTCCGCACCGCACGCCGTGACTTAAACGTAGGCGTCGTCGCTCGGCCCAGGTGCCAAGCAGTATCAATACCGAGACAAGCACCCGTAGTGGCACTGGGAATGGCTGTGACCGCGCTTGCCTGGTCTAGGAGGGTTTTCAAGGGTGCAGGACACAGGACAAGACCTGGACAACACGTCCTGCAGAGCTTACCACCCCAAAACCCCTCAAATATATATGGCATCTATGGCATCTCCCGGAATTTGGTGGTCCACTTTTGGGAGTCTCGACTTGATACCCGATTGCGTGAATCCAAAATGCACAAATGCTGATGCCATTTTCGATGTCAACATATATCTTCGCATCTCAAACATGTCACACATAGAAACAAAAAAACTCGACAAGGTACCCTGAAAGGGGGGAAAAAGAGGCCAGTGAACTCTTCATCCGCTTGCGAAGTCGCATGCACACATGCACAGTCTCCCGAATGTTCATGGTGTTCACCATGGAATTTCTACGACTCGGCCATGTTCATCGCCCTTTTGGGGGGATTCGCCAGATGCCGTCGATCGCCCTCTCCAAGCTACAACACGACTGTGGACATGAACCATAGCCTCAGATCGAGGCTGTCGAATTTCCCTGCAGGAAACACCAACCAGAGTGGAGAGTATGGGAAGTAGCTGTTGCAGTAAGAGTTTTGCTACTGTCAATGACTCACTTGTTATTGAAAGTCCCTGAAACCTTATGTTACTTCCTTGTTGGTGTCTTCATTGGAGATGGTTCTCTCTACTTGATGTGTGGATAGGGAGATGGTGCCAGAGATGGCGCATCTGTGTTAGACAAACATTGTCTAATGCTTCCATGGAGAGTCAAAAGACTGTTAGGTAAGACATAGAGGTAAGACTCCTAAAGGAAACACCCAGGATGATGCCCTCAAATGTCAAGTCCATAAACTGTTGCGAATTAAAAACAAACCTATCTTAATAAGATGAATTATAATATGATCATAAATGGATGATTTGGACGGCAATGTCATTCTTTGCGCCCGAACTCTCTTGAGTGTTCTATGGAGTATATACAAATATATACAACTTGCAAGGGAGCTTGGGGAACCTTGATCGAAAAGGAGTTCAAAGAACAACAGATGCAAATGGTTTTTCATTGACTTGTCCAAGGATTCCAAGCATGATCATGCTCTCTACAAATGGATGTTGCCGCTCTACAGAGCCTGGTGACCCGTTCGGATCGGATGAGTCCGTCTACGCCATCCGAAATGGTCCTTCCAGGATTCGATACATAGCTCTTCTATAGGGAGACTGACCCCCCGGCACTGACCTCCTGGTTGACCAAATAGACCACTAAACTACCACCAAATTAGACCCGGATTATATCACATACACAGCCATTTTTCTCTGCAGAAACGACTCCTCCGGCTGGACAACGGCTCCTCCAGTCTTGGGTCAAAACTGCTAGTAAACTGAGGCAATGCAATCGATCGATCTGGTCGATTTGTGCGTCACTTCAATGAAAGTCTCTACAAAGACACACCAATTCATAAGAGTAAGAATCGGCCCATCCCTCTCCAGTCGCCTTCTGCGCGGTCATGTGATAGAGCTTGCCAAGAAACCAAAGTGTGAAAAAGATGGTTCCATCATATACGGACAACCCCTCAGCGGCAAAGTGGGGTGGAAGTGGAAGGGCCGGATTCTTTCAAGCTTGCAAAAAGGAGCGCTGCCCCTGCGGAGCGTAGCCCAAACTTGCAATGATGTGGGAAACCCTCAACAAAACTTCTGAGGCCAATGTGGGACCAATATGGACCAATGCGGAAACAATAGACCACCAAACAACAATCCATTCTCTATAGACTTGAACCTGCAGACCACAGCTCACCCACTGTAAACATCTGAATAATCTCAAAGTTGACAACAGGAAACCAAACAAAATTTGTTCATATGTGTCCCAACCAGCTGTGTCATGTTGAATTTTCACAGCCCCTCAAACTTGCAATCGGCAACAAAAAGGCCGACATCTTCTTAGGTCCAAAACCTCGACCGAGCTTTGGCCACAACGCTTCGCAGGACCTTCGGTCTCGACTGCAGTGAGAGCACAGTAAAAAAAACCTTCCAGGCACAAAACATGTTTACAACAAAAGACCCCCTATGGACCCTTGGAACCCATATGGATTTGTAGTTGAGGGAGGACCCCCTGGCCCTGGCTGGGTAGAGTCAAGGGTCCCACCGAAGCCAGGTGGGGAGCGAACGCCTGGGAGGTCGCCCTATTTGGAGCTAGATATCATTACACATCCATATCCGTCCGGTCAACGAAGTTTCGGCCGGGCCGAAAGCGCGTTGCGAGCCGCGCCGCAGCACGGTGATCGGGTTGGGCCAAGTACTGAGGAAAGACTTAGGAACTGGGTGTGCAGAAATGAATACACACCCAAAAAATCTGCACACCCAAGTCTTACTTTTAGGGACTTATCTGAGATCTGGTGTTCATATTTTTAGGGAAAATAGGACAGATCTGGGATCCCAAAAATATGTTCTGCCAAAGGAACAAGACTGATAAAACACACCCTGTGGAAAAAGGGTGTCCCTGTTCTGAGACACTAATGCCTGCAACTGACTCCTTTGGTTTGCCTTTCAATATCTGTCAAGAATCCTCCTGTGACCGACTTGTATCATATACGACAAACACAAACATGAAAAATAGAAAACAACACAAGAAAAAAATTAGATGATCCAGTAATTAGATATTGATGTGTACCAATTCACTCCCTGTCCTTGTTTCACTCCACTCTCCGACTGCCGTCGCAGGGACGAAGAGCACCGCCACCAAGGTGAGAAAGAGGACGCCCAAGGCCCAGCGGAGGTAAATCGTGGCGCGCTGCCCTAGGCCGCCTGGGGATTGCCCAGTGGTTTGGTGTAGCATAGTCAGCATAGTCATTTGAAAAGGTTTCTATTGATGAACTGTGAGAGATCTTTGAGAAGCAAACAGAAAATTATGTAGATAAAATAAAACAGATGTATTCTTCCGAATGTTCCATATATATGTTTAGCTTATATGATCTTCTATCGTTACGTTTGCCTCTGTTTGTCTGAAACACAAAGAAACCAAAGTCTCAGTAAAGCAACTAAGCAACATTGGCAAAATATAACACTCAAGCCATACCTCCCTGAGGTGAAACAAAATAATGACCAAGCCATACCTGCTGTGCAAAAGTTTCACATCCCAGGCAAAAAAGAAGCTCTGACCTAAAAGGTGATGCATTGAGAAGCAATCTATATGGAACACATGACACGCTGTCAGTCCCGATACGTCCCGTCAAACCACTGTGGGGATCTGACGAAGAAGAGGAAGAAAGCAGGCACGCGAGTGGTCGTCCCGATTCGAGACCCCGATCCTGATCGGCATCCATTGTAGTCAAACAGAATGTAATGATCGGAATTCATCATCACTTGGCTTTAATCATATAATACCTAATGTGGGAAAAGAACACAAACAACATGCATCTCTTGGACGGCCAACCGGGCCTCCAAAGCACATCTGTGTGTGATACACGTGCACCCAAACCGACGGCCGAGGCACACCACGACATCACATGGTCGCGGCTAGCTCGGCCAGCTCGGCATGGGGCCGCGGCACCCGGCGTGAGATAGAGTGGCGGTGGTCCAAGAGGCTCAAAGCTAAACATGATGTGTTGTGTTTTGCGTTTCAAGAGTATGGGGAAGTCATGATCATCATAGTGTATTTGCCCTGCTTAGCTCAAGTCATGTAGCAGCTAGGTCAGGGTATCTCAGGATATCCGCTCTGCTTCACAACAATTCACCCAAACCCATCAGTGATCAAAGTGCATATCCGCCCTGCAGAGTTCAAAACTCAGCTATCCATTTCTATGAACAGCACCTTTGGCTGCCACTTGAACTTCATCTCAACATCCCAAGAAGGTCAGACCTTTGTTTTTAAAACATATGCTTCTTTTTCTCGAGTCAGTCAGGTCTATTGGGCCGTGCTTTGGAGCACTGACAAAAACCATTGTTCTTTCCATCGCAGAGTCTGTCGGATGCCTTAGGTTATTGGAGATGGTCAAAAGGTGTCTGTTGGTGTCTGTTTTGGAGATGGTCTTTAGTTTCCTTATTGTTGATGGGCAATTTAGATGGTTTCCGCTGCTGGCATCTGTGAGCCATGGGCTTTGTCCGAAGCAAGACATCGCAGCGGCACAGATGTCTTGGCCAAGGTGTGAGAAAGAAAGAAACGGACTCTGTACATACACTGCGGTGATGAGACGTGGTTGGTAATGTGGCGTGGATGTCCTTTTGCACGACTCTGGTTCTGACAGTGTGCAAAACTCTTATAGCCTGTCACCAGGACAAACAACGGGACACTTCTACTTTGCCACCAGCTTCCCTGAACTATTTTAAAGGAATCAACATGTGTGACATGAGACATTCGCATTCACAAGAACTTGTGAGCATTTGCTTGGAGATTAAAATTAGACTGTCAAAATCCGAAGAAACGAAGACTTCCACATGAAACATCTTCCAACTGATCACAGCCTTTTTCCAAGGGATGTGCTTCACTCTTTGGCAACCCAAAAAGCAAAGGTGTTCACTCTGGGCCCCCCTGCTTGCCCATGTGTCTCAGTTCGTTTTCGTAAATCAAGTTGAACATCACCCAACCCCATGGTCCTGGGAGCCCCCAGCCTCTATTTGCCGCGCCCGGCAGAATTCCCTGGCGACGACAAGTCAAAGGGATGAGTCAAGCGCTTCCGCGGATTTCGGATCAATGAAGGGTTCTTATCTCGGCTGGGAACTGCGTCACCTGCATCGAACACTGCGTCGTTCGCACATGCGTTGTTCGCACATGTGTGAGACCATCCTGTGGTACATGTCTTGTCTCTTCGAATACTTGCTATCGCAGTCCAGAGTCCCGATCACCAGGCTTTTTACAGCCTTTCGACCATGAACCACATAACGATGAAGCTAAGGATTCTGACAAGGCAATCACCAAAGCACCGGACCCACAAACCCCCACGGATCATCCCATCTAAGGGCCAACCATCTATCAACCCAAGAAGCATGCTGCCATTGGGGGATCCCACCCAAGTCTTCTCCAATTTCCTCCAGGGCATCCACCAAGTCGTGTCCAACATGTACCCATTCAATCTCCTTCTCCATCCAAATCCTCCGGATCCATGCTTTCGCTTGAAAAAACAATACAAGCAAAAGCCACCTCCAAACGACTCGTCCGACTCGCCCCCTCCCCCACCGGATGGCATTGATCGGCGAGTCGGCCACCACGCCGCCCACGTCGAAGATCACCACCTGCGAGCGAGTTCAGCGGTGGGTGGTGCGCCCGTGACCGGCGGGTGGATGGCGAGGGAAGGCGGGTGCCGTCCCCAAATTTCCGCCCGCCCTGGTGGAGTCCCAGGTGGAGTCCCGGGAAGGCCGAAATTCGGACGGACTCTCTGCGATGTTTTCTGCGTGGTTTCAGGTTCGGGAAGCCTATGGAGGGTGTAGCAGGAAGATTTGAGGTGTAGTAGTTCCTTCTACAGTCCTTCTGTCGAAAAAAGACTCACACGGGGGGTGTTGACCCACCGGATGAGGCTCCAAATAGAGTCTACCCAGTTGTGCTGCGCAGGAATGTGTGAGGGAAACAAATCAAGGTCGGCTTGTGCTCTCCTGTGTGCTACGTGCTCTCCTCAGAGGCGGACAAATACTTCATGAAGTTGCTTCGCAGGCTTCTTCCATGGTTCTCATGTCCAGTTCCTTGAACATGGCATCAGTTGACGCCTTGTTGCCCTGCACAAGCTGAGCTGTGACAAGCGTCCAAAAAGAAGCACATCTACGAACAGTGTGAGGTGATCCACGTCAGGTGACTTACGATTTCTTCGTTCTCAATCAGGGACTCATGTCAGGCAATCAGAGGAAGGTTCCAAAGGCACTATGTTGACACAATGGAAGTCGCGGGTTGGCTATAGCCAGTGTCTTGAGTTGGGACCGTGCCGCCTTGGGGTTGGTTCTTGTTTGATCCATCTCTCCACCAAGGGCAGTCTTGATTTCCAAAGACACATGGCCAAAAATAGAGAAGAACAATAACATCAGTGCTGTATCAAAACTTTTCTAAAATCGGACTTGTTGCAATATTGCCGTGAATATTGTGCCATGAAAGTTTTGAACACGGCAATATGCGGCAATGCTCTTCTGTTAATGGTGTGTTGAATTGATCTGGGTGGTGAGGATGTTGGTGAGCTCCCTTTTGTTTGCTTGGTGAAGAAAAATGTTCCCTGCCATACCCAAATCCTACTCTTTTTGCAAAGTCCCTCTTCACTTTGTATAGCTGCACATTTCCTACCCGACCTCCACAGTCTTCTCGGTTGTTGCCGAATGGTTTCATTTCTGTCAACCCTTGTTGCCTCACCCTGGACCCTGGACCCTCAACCTTGCTACTTTAGAGATCTCGTGGGATCTCCGTGCGTCTTCCGTTCTTCGTCCAAGCCACACGCCGTTCTTCCTTGCTCGCATTGCTCGCCATGACTCAGGCAAGATGTGCCATAACAATCGCTTAGAGATCTCAGGGGTAAACAGATCTAGTACCTTTTTAGGACCTCCCCATGAAAATTTGGGGTGTTGTCCTCGAGTTCTTTCGACGGGGATCATCAAACCCGACTCTACGTCTTCGAAGCTCCGGGACCGGAGACTGCACCGGGCCGAGGGGCTCGACCTGGGATTCACCGGGTCACTTCCGGTGAGTCTTTCGGGTCGACCCCTCCTTCGTGGGTGGAAAAAGCACCATGAAATTGATTGGAGATCACCAGCCAAGCCATGAGGCAAAGGGTCGCTTCCCCTCGTGCAAAGGTCAAATCCAGTCCATCTTGGACAACTTTGTGTGTGCAACTCTCTTCGCTTGGACAACTTGCTTGACACTGAATCTAAATGCTGCATCGGCTGCGGGCAGCGACCACGGACACGTGGCATCTTGTTTCGCATAATACGGAAAATGCCAGTGTGGGACGCGGGAAAAGGCTGGAGCAGCTTCCATATTTCCTGAACTGGTAAATCGATAAGTAGTTAAGTAGTTGTTCCTTGAGTCATTGAGTCATCGGTCAGGTATGCAATCTCAAGACTGTTTGAACTACTGCCAGGCAACTTCTCTGTTCTACCCTATCACATCCTATCAAACTCATTCTTGGTGTAAAGCATCTGTCAGTGTCGTATTCGGATCAACTGTGAGACCACCAAACCTCTAACAACTAACGACTAAGTAGGCTTTCGGCTTTTCTGACTGAACCGGAAGCGTCATGGATGCGCGCCTCGTGAGGCATCGATGCGAAAGGTATCGATACACTTACACCACACCAAAGATTTCCCTACTGGCGACTAGAGGGTGCCGGCTCTTTGCGCTCACCTATCTTGGTGTTGCACAGTCACCATGTTATATAGGAACTCTTGGCTCAAATCCCCAGGACTGGACTGATGGCCAATCCATGCCAATCCACTTGGGAAGACAAAGCCTGGAGTCGGAGCTACGTCATGGAGCTGTCCAGTCGACTTCCGCAGGTCCGACCATTCTGACTGGAAGTCTATCGCAGATACCGCAGCTCTTTTGTTTGGCATGGTGGGTGGTGTTTCTAGAGGAAACAAGGAAAACAAACGAGTCTATACTCATTGGTTGGTGTCTCCTGGATTGAAAAATACAGCAACACACGTATCAGCTTTCGAAACTCATCTCCATGATGGAAGTCTACACGGAAAAACCCTCCGCCGAAGCACGCTGAAACTCGCCTGGTGTCGCCGCATCGTTGAGGATCGATCTGGGTGGCCTGGGCTGCCAAAACATGCTGGCAGTAGATATCCGCCAACAAATCATCTCCAATCCCCTGGCTTTTTTGCCACGCTTTCACCGGCCATGTCGCTTTCCCCAAGCTCGCCATCCGTCCGTCATCCCTCACCGTCCGTCATGACGGCCGTCCGTTCCGCTGCCCAGCGGCGCCATGAGCTCGCAGCGCAGGAACTCCACTGCGCCCTGCGGGACTCGGCGCCGGCGTCGGGGTTCTTCGTTGGGGACGGTCTGTCGGTCTTTGACGGTGATCGTGTTCCAGCTGGGGGGAAGACCTGGGGGGGAGAAAGACCTGTGAATCAGGGAGGCTTTTTGGCTCACTTTGGTGTTGCTATGTGTTGATGTCCAGGAAAGATGGAGAATGGATGGAGAAGCTGGTCAAGTGAGAGTCAAGTGGCTGGTCAACCCGTGTCTGCACGGCAACAGCGACCAGGGAGGTTCATGAAGTCGTGTGTGTCACACGTTTCAGGGGCTGAATCTGTTCTGTCTGTCCAGGGCAAAACACTAACTCACTGGGCAGTGACTCAAGGAACAAACTCACTCCTTGAGACCATGTCGTGTCCTGGCTGTCCTGGAGGTTCATGTCGATTCCACGCAATCCCCGCAGCTCAAGTTGCAACATCCAGCTTTAAAAAAGAAAAAGCGTTGTTATTAGTGATTCACTCTTTGTATCACTAATATGAGTTGCTTCTGAAAACATGAACAACTCATTAACCATTCAGTATCATACGTAATTCTATACTATATATATATAACTCCAACCCTCAAAAGAACACTTAAGGTCGACCCCTTCGACCTTGAAACCGAGACTTCGACGGCCTCGACTGACTCGACGGCGCGACGGCTGAGGTTCCCACGTTCACCACGATGTAAGTAACATCCTGCAGGATGAAAAACAGAAGGACCACTGCCGGGCTATTAAACAAATGATACAGTAAATCCACTCATGATGTATATATTTTTTTTATTCATGATACGAAGTAACTGGACTCTAGGAAAGTCACATCCAAAGCTAGTGTGTAGATTCCCACAGATTCAGTCAATCCGTGAAAAACTAGGACATCAACTCATGTCTGACGGATGAGTCATGAATCCCAACTTTTCAACATTTTTCCAGAACCTCCCACCAACAAAGAACCCATCTCCAAAAGACATGATGCCAGTGTTTCCTTTGGCCGCTCAAACCCATTTCTCTCTGCAATGAAAATCCTTCAAACATATTCAAAGATCTGCTATGGCATACCTCAAACCCCGAAAAGGAAAAAAACCAAACAAAACGCCTGCCAAATGGTGGAACCACCTCAAAACTCGAAACAACGACGTCCGCGGTCCGCTTTCCCACGCTTTTGAACAGGTCACCTCTGCCGGCTCGTTCTGCCGTAGGAAGACGTGGCCCCTGTGGAACACCGCCTCGTGGGATGAGGGCTCGGTTCTGGACCATCCTGGACCTGGACCGGCTTGGTGTCCTGTCCAGGCTTGGTTTTCCAGGGTGAGCGAGCAAGAAACGTTCAAGAAACGTACATCACTTCCAAAATCCGGCTTGCAGTTGTCTACATCCTGCCAGCTGCTCGACGTTTCAGGCTACCTCAGTCATAGTGGCTGCTTGTGGGGTGTCTTGGACAGCAGTAACCTGTGGCCACCAAGCACCCGAGTTCCACCAACACGCGAAGTTTACCAATCCCCTCCGCACGTGTGGCGACCTGATCGCCGGAGAGTGCGGATCCAATGTCTTCGTCTTACCCAGTCACAGCCCAAACAACAACACATGTAGCACTTCACAGAGGATGACTACACGGTCCACAGTGTTGGTTTCACGATAGTCAACTCGACTTGGGTCCACGTTTGCAAGGAAATGTGTGTGTGGGTGTTTGTTTGTTTTAGTGCATCGCTACTATATAGTCCCTAGGGATCCAAGTATCTTCTCAGGTACGGCACCTGGACCCTCCTGGCACCCACCCCAGTCCCTCCTTCTGCATTCAGGCACGACTGGATCCCTAGGGAGTAGCAGCTGTGCATTTCGCTACTAGTAGCGCTGGTGATCTCCAAAACCTCCAATCTCAAACCTTGTTGACCTTGAAGGGGGGGGGGCCCGGGTTGATTAATCCTACGTCGACATTATAGCTATAGTAACAAAAACCTTCTTTTTTAATCGATCTCCACGGAGTTGAGGCGCCCAGTCAGTGCGGAAGTCCGCCTGTTTGAAGGAGATGGCGGACTTCCCTTTGGGCGAGGCCCGCTCTCCCGTCGCCAGCGCCTCGCATCGTTGATATCGTTCCATGGAGAGAAGGGGCTCACGAGTGGTCCAGGAGTTTCATTAGGCTTGGTGAACCTGTTCACTTTTCCCAAACACTCCCAATGGGACTGGAAGATTTACCACACCATGAGGGTGGTTGAAGTCGGGGTCAATTGATCGGCATATATTCCAGTCCGGAGTGCCTGGGTTTGGTTGGTGGTTCGGCACTTGCTTCACCACCTGTTGGTCCCCTCCCGGTGCCATTGAAACCGTTCAGTCAAACAAGAGCGGTCATGTGCGTATCCGGGGCATCTGCCAGAAAAAGAACACATGGTATACAAACATACTGCAAGGCGCTGGTGGAGATGAAAACAGAAGAGTCCAAGCGAGGGCGCACGCCGCAACCGCCACGCACGCGGCATTTTCTGAGCTGGCCTTTGTTGCGCTGGAAAATGACAGGGGACACATGTACGGCACCTGAGATCTAAGAAGTGGGAACATGTTTTTAAAGATGGCCTCCAACCTAGAAGCAATGGCCTCCCACCTAGAAGCAATGGCCTCCAACCTAAGAGCGATGGCCTCCAACCTACTAGCGATGGCCTCCAACCTAAGAAGTGGGAACATTCATTCAGAGATGTTGGGCCATGTGGTGAAAAAGAAACAGGGAAGCTCCCGACCATTGAGAGGGACAGTTCGTTGGGGTTCTCACTCCCCTCAAAAGTCAGTCAACAGCGGAGCTTCACATCCAATGCATCCAAATGTGAGACTGCATGGATCTACATGGTCTATGTTCTTTCTTCCAGTGGATCGAATTGGGGTTCCTACCTACCAGTATGTAAAGACACGCCCAGTGGAACTGTTGGTTTCCCACTCCCCCCGGCCTCGCGCATCCCTGGCAGGTGCTCCTCGAGGAACGCCAAGCGTTCCTGACGGTGAGGCCGGAGCGGGCAGTCGTCCGGACGTGAGCGGACAGTCGTCTCGTCAGACCGTCAGACCGTCACTGTTCACACAGTGACCCAAGTTGTTCAACGATGGAAAGCCCAGTTCTTCGCTGTTCCGTCTGGGAAAACGGCTTGAAAGCTTTCGGCTCTTCTAGAAAGATTCTGGCCATCAATCCGTTGCCATCGATCGCAGTGTTGAAATTCTGAAAAGAAGAAGCAGAATCAACTTCTGAGTATTTATACCATGGCATCATCCCTTCGTAGTTGGGTTGGGTTGACGGTGTTACCATCGCGCGTAGATTGCGAACATACAACCCAATTTCTGCGCGTACGTTGCCTACAACTCAGCTGCATGTCTTGCGCACTCACATATAATGGCGAAGAACCGGTGGTACACAGAACCTGGGCATCGGGGAATGCAATATTATGCTGTGCTGTCTATTGACCACAGTCAACATCTGCAAGGCAGTGTAAAAAAAAGTACTATGTGCGACTTGGATGAAAGGGCCATTCATCCGCCC